CTTTTAGTGTACCGTGAGAGTCTCAAGCGCGTGAGATTGTTTACAGTGAGATATATGCGTTGAGACTGCCTGCTCCACCAGTAGTCTGGCCAAGCCGATCATATGTCCGATACGGGAAATGGGCGTAGTGGCTGACAGAGCTAAAGATCCCGTCTGCGCTTGCGACATGCGCTACTTGCCCTTCTCTTCCCCCCAAACGCGTGCACCAGTATTTCACGCACAAGGGGGTTTGACCATTCGGATCTCACATGCACCAGAGAAGCCACAGGAAGAGAAACTGATGGTGTGGCGTTGAAGGTGTTTATGTGTGGAGCACATATGTTGTCGGGGAAGTGTGTGGTGACATGGTCATCTCCGCGATGACCTAATAGGCCCTTGCGATGGCTGAATGTGCGAGGACAGTGTGGACAATGGAGGCGAGAGCGTCTGGTATATATCGATGCTCCAGCCAGCGGTTCAACAGTCTCTGCGCAGTGGATTCGCAAGTGACCGATCAGGCCGATGTGTGAGATGAACCTGCGGTGACAGTGGGGGCTGGTAGGTTGGGGGAGTTTTGAAGAAGGAGACACGATCGCGGGAACAAGAGCTTTATTAGCCTGACGTTTCGGATTCCTGCTCGAATCCACCAGCAGAGACAACAGCAGATACGGGTGATTCACGCACAAGGGGCTGCAGTATTTATAGAATTCAGTCGCCATGTTACCGCATACCTATGAACATTCACGGCTCCCCCCTTCATCCGGGATCGTCGCACTTAGTGTGTTGATTGCTTGAAGCGCTCACCAAAATTTGGTGTCCACGCGGTTAGGCCTTTCGTCCCTTTTGCGCATGCACCGGTTGACGAAGTTGCGCGGGTAGCCATTGACTTTGAAGACCCGTCGGAGTTATTGTAGTTCGGCAATCTTGTCTTCCGGCTCACTGCAGTGCGTGTTGACACGCCGATAGAGCGTCCTTACACAACTGCGTTTGTGGCTGATTAGGTAGTTGCTGTTGAAGTTCAGTACTTGCATCGTATTTGTCGCTTTCCTGAACAAAATGGCCTTTAGTCCACCACAATCTTTGCGGCGTACGCGGACATCCAGGAAGGCCAGCTGGTTGTTCTCTTCCTCCTCCATTGTAAATTGAATTTCCTGGAAGACGGCGTTGAGATTGCCGAACTACAATACCTCTGACGGGTCTTCAAAGCCAATGGCTACTCGCGCAACTTCGTCGACCGGTGCATACGCAAAAAGGACGAAAGGCCTAACCGCACGGACACCAAATCTTGGCGGGCACTTCCGTATGTCAAGAACGTTTCGGAAGCTGTTGGCCGCCTTCTCGCACCACTTAGGGTTGGAGTGGCACACAGACCGGAGGCAACCATCGGGCATCTGGGCATGAAACCGAAAGACCCGTTGCCACGGCTAGAAACGTCTGGAGTCGTTTATCGGATCTGGTGCAGTTGCGGACAAAGCAACTACGTCGGAGAAACCGGAAGACAGCTCCGAACGAGAATGGTCGAACGCGCTGCAGTGGTGCGGAGAAATGACGTCGACTCTCAAGTTGCGGCTCATTCGACGAGATCCGGCACACAGACCCCAACACCAGGGTCGATGCGTCAGATAGTCGAGCAATCCTCACACCAACATCCAACGCACGTGATGAAATTGTATTAATTAACGACGCGGATTTCGGCCATCAAACAGTCAGCACACCAAGTGCGACGATCCCGGATGAAGGGGGGAGCTGTGAGTGTTCAAAGGTATGCGGTAGCATGGCGACTGCGTCCTACAAATACTGCAGCCCCTTGTGCGTGAATCCCCCGTGTCTGCTGTTGTCTTTGATGATGGATTCGAGCAGGAATCTGAAACGTCAGGCTAATAAAGCTCTTGTTCCAGCGATCATGTCTCCTTTTTCAAGATTACTTCCTGGGACTCGTCTCTTCGCTTCTATTGGCAAGGTTGCGGGATGTTGTGTTGGATTTTGTTGTGACACTGTTAGTGGAGAACCTGCTTGTCGATGGGTGGCTGATTGGGTTGGGTTGGTGGATGGGCAAGTTCTGTAAGGTTTTTATCTACTTCGGTGAATTTCACTGTTGTGAGTACGCATGTGGTCGAATAAGCCTATGCGGTGCATGCATGTCCGTGAACAGCCAAGGCGAAAGCACGCGAGAGCCCCCGGCACCGGTACACCGGTCGTAGCGCAATGGATTTGCAAGGCACCGACCACTAGAACACTCATTAAGCGCAAAATTCGTCCGGATGGCTGCACTTTTTTCAGGAATTATCTGCGGTGATAGGAGAGAGAGGGACAGGGGGCAAAAAAGGAGAGACCCCTCCCCGCCCTCCTTTTGAAAACAATAGGAATTTTTTCTTGTTCAGTCGCCGGTTGGTGTGTGTTTGAGAATTATTCATGTTAGGTACTGTTAACCCACCTTCTTCCTCCCCTCTCTGCCCGTTTGCTGCTCGTTCTATCAGTTGGATTGTTCCGAAGAGGTGTATTAGGCAAGCATTTCTCAGGCTCTATTGTTCTGTCCTCTTTCTAGTCTTTTAAAAGAGAATAAGAAGTTGGTTTTGAGAGAGAAGGGGAACGGACTGGGGCAGTCTCCTCCTCCTCCTCCTCCCTCTTCCTCCCTCCGTTTCAATCACACCTGGACGCGTAAGTTGATGTTCCATCTTATTTGACAAAGACAAAAAAAGTGCGGTGACCGATGCCACTGCATTAGAGACCGACTCCAACTGAAAATGACAATTGCACCGAGGAGAATATTCATATTTAGCTGCGGTGAAGTCTACTTAAACCGTGCGTCAGCAGGTAGAGTAGTAACTTTGGTTATCTAATTAAGCACTCCCAAACTGGTCACTTTACTCGAAACTTGAGCAGTCTATGGCCTGAAAGCCCCAGTCAAGATGCATCCTGTCCTCTCTGTTATCTTGACTTCACGTCCAGTCTGACATGGTTTTACTATCCACGTCGTAGGAGCGCAGATTATCTGATCGGCTGAGTCATGCTGAAGAATGCTGCTCCAATTTCTGCTTTCCTAACTTTCTGCCTATCACGTTCGATGCTCTGCTCGTACCAGAACTGATGCACCACCCACTCTATTGTCTATCCGTCACCGTTCACTCTTACCTCTGTCCCCTCTCCTTCTCTTTTTCTTGCCACTCTTCTCTTTCCCCCATCAGCTCGTCTTCTTCCTCTCCTCTTTTGTTTCTTTATGTTCAGCTATTTCAACTTTGTAAAAACTTCTTGCCTATGTGTACCAACTGTTTTCAATTTCCCCATACCTTTCATCCCAGCCGCCCTCAATCTCTACTACTTGAACATTCATTATTTCTGAATATAACACATTGAATGGTGAGGGAGAGCCGGGATAAGTGTGACCGATCTCATGAAATGTTGATCGAAATCCTGAAATGCGTTTTCAACAAGGAATGATTACGTAAGTGGGGTTGTGGTAATGAGTGTCATGCAACATAATCCTACAGCCTTTTGGACCCTCCAGGATGTCGGCTTTTAAGTGCGCTTCTTTCCGATCTGCTGCAGAAATTACATTCGGCAAAACATTACTCAGGTAGGAAATCCCGTTATCTTCATATTGTGTACTTGGGAAAGTGAAAAAGCTTCCTACTGCTCAAACAACGTTGAGCCAGATCAGCCGTTGCATTAGGGGTTAGCGATTTCAGGCCACAAGGTGTATGCTTCCCGCGTAAGGGAAACAATAGCTTCCGTCATGTTTTTAGGAAGCTATCATATAGAGTTCATAAAATTTTACAATGGATGCGGACTATGTTGTACTTTTCATGAAGAGCACTGATAAGCGGACACTTGCGATGTATGGAAATCGCACGGTCTTAAAAATCTCATAATTAGAAACTTTATTAAAACTGAAAGTTAATCTTTGATAGGGCATAAAATGGAAAGACAACGTTATTTTCGGCCAAAGGAGTAGAAGAAGGCATATTTTTGTTCATGTTTTGTAGAAAATATATTTCAATTTAAAAGACCGTCGAAAATTGATGTGAAAATGCATGCTACATGAGTATTCATGTTTTACCAAATGCGGTTTCTGCAAGAAGTCGAAACAAAAGTGCAGTCAAAAGTAGACATCCTAGCGAGTCCACAATATTATAGGACACTCATTACTACAACCCCACTCAAGTAGTCCTTCCCTTTTGAAAACGCATTACAGAATTTCAGCCAACGTCTCATGAGATCGGTCACGCATTGTATGTGAATGATAAGGTCATGGTGTGCTTGTTTGGTCAAACGGTCTGGTGTGAGCTGGCAGTTCCCTGACACCTGGTTCCCTACCTGTAGACAAATTGGTCGAACGACCCGACGGTTTTGCAAAAAATCAAGAATCAGCTGTCGGCTCGGGGAGGGGAAGACCGTTTCCAGATTTGTACGGGTACACCGGGTGTGAACTGACACTCACGCGGAGTCCTACAAGGCCTCCCACAGACTTGGTTGGGTACCAGGGTTCCATACAAAGGTACTGTTGTGGCGAGAACAGCGGTCAATGAAGTCAGTTCTCTGTGTGCAAGAGATAGAGACAAATGTCCCTCATATCCCCCCCCCATTACACCTCCATCTTATGTCCCCAAATCCCTCACGCGTTTGTCCTGACATTTCCCCCCCCTCACTCCCCACACTCTCCATGCACTCATAGTTACCTGCAATCCACCCGAGTGCATACTCTTCCACCCTCCCTCCAGAACTGAGTAATTATGTGAATTCGAAGTTTGCTCGTTTGTAATCGCCTACATAATGAAATTATAGTAGTATGCGCAACTGTACGGGCCGGATCATTATGTCCAGCAAATGATCATTCGCTGATCCGTAGTCTGTGCTGTTTTTGCAAGCTTCGCAAAAAACCTTATTGTGATAGGCGCGTGGCTACAGCCAACGCGAAACGAACATGTCCCTTCAGACTACATACAGCGAAGATGTTTGTATATTCCCCACAGGTCAAAAGGACTGTAAGCGTGTGCTACGCCAGTATCAGCAAACCATGGCCCTCACAGCCTGGTATGCGCTAGCAGTTCCCTGACACCAAGTTCCCTAACGGTAGATGTGCTTGCGCTCCCGTTGGGTATACAGGCGGTGGACATGGCTACCCGATCATCATCATCATCATCATCATCATCATCATCATCATCATCATCATCATCATCATCATCATCATCATCATCATCATCATCATCATCATCATCATCATCATCATCATCATCATCATCATCATCATCATCATCATCATCATCATCATCATCATCATCATCGTCATCATCATCATCATCATCAACATCAACAACAACAACATCAACAACAACATCATCATCATCATTCTCGTTCTTCGGACCCCTGTTGGGGTGCTGTTGTTGTCGGTCAAGAACCTGGTCATTTGCTGTGTGGACCACGGGGTGTGGAGTGGAACGCCTAGGTGCGGGTTTGACCGTTCCATCCACCTGAGCCCTCCCCGCCTCCGGTACTCTCGACTCTGTCTTGACACCAGGTTCAGGTGGCAAGTGGGGGAAGAGAGAGTGCGGTAGACGTTGCGCAAGTGTACTATCACTATAAACTAATTCACGTACAAGTCCTCGTGCCTGCTGCAGCTTGGTGTGCAGCACATGGTAGACACCGCCGAAATCGACGGTCGAACTGTCGTGTGCTAGCTTGCTCCTCTATCAGACCACGTGGTTGGGCACGTTGGACCAACACACTCACTCTGCTGTGGATCACACGCTGGACATAGTAGGCAATAGCGGTCGAACGGTCGTGTGTTAACAGGCGAGGTTTTCCCTGTCAGTCTGGCGATGGGTGTGCTCTGCCGAAGAACTTTGAATGTTACGAATGCCCGTTATGTGGATAATTTATATTTTTTTACTTTTGATTCGCTAGGCGGATATATTGCAGTCCACTTATGGACGAGGAACATTGAGCAACTCTGCCTCGTAAGTCGGTGAATTTCCCCTTAAATATTCTCCTCCGGATAAGTCAAGTTGGCGCATTCATTTCTAGAGCGAGTAAAAGGCTGAAATATCAAGTTCGCCTGTAGCACTTACCTCTTTCTTTCCTCATCCTCCGCCCAATTTCAGCAGTTGGTTCTGACGCCTACTGCCTGCATGGGATGTAAACTGGAGCTCAGAGAGAGAGGGAATGAAGTAAAACGGCTTTATTCGTTGTACAGGCAAATTATCTCGGTTATTCCCATTATTTTGCAGCTTTGGTCACTTCGAATTTTGAGTGAAAAAATGTGGGACCCCTAGCTCAAGCGATAGCGTTTGATCAAGCGTTCATTTGCCTACGGCATTCACAGATCATTCGGAATCCAGGCTGACTGGCCGGCGGGCGGCAACGGCAAACAAACCGGAAACGAGCGTTCAGGTTGACATATTCTTTGACGGCAGAATTTTCTAAATTTGAATTGTTTAAAATTGATTGGCTATTTTTCTCACCCAGTCCTCCGACCGGCACACACACGCGACAGTTCGACCGTCGTTACCGACAATGCCCACCAAGCGCCCCACAGCAGGGTGTGTACAGTTTCAGTAGGCTTGCATAGCATCTACTGCAATCGCTCCTCCTCCCCTCCACATGGGCTCGACTCAAGACAGTCCAGAAGGCCGGAAGGGGACGCAGGTAGGTGGCACGGCGAATACGTGCACTTTGGCCTATTATCCCATCCCTGGCCCACAACGTACACTGATCAGAATTTTATACCAATAGACGAAAATGAAGTTCGGACCCTCAGTTGGCGCGGCGCGTGTCTGAATCTAGGCATGTTACCACAATCTTTATGTTGGCATTTGTTATGGACACGCATCTCCGATAACGCCTGCCGGATCCCAGTCCAGCTTCCATGTTGGCCGGGCGCATTTACCGCGTGGTCTGTTTTAGGGACGAAAATGCACATACACACGCACACACACGGCAGCCCGGCAGTCGTGACTGACAATGTCCACGGTGTGTTCCATAGCTGGGTGGAAGCAGGAACGATGGCTTGCGCTTGAATTAGTTTATGGTGATAGTAGACTTGCGTAGCATCTATCGCACTCTCTCTCCCTTCCTCACCATCTGGTCCCGGTGTCAAAACAGAGTCAAGAAGACTGGAGGTGGGAGAGGGCGCAGGTGGCTGGCACGACGTTAGCCCTCACCTGGGCATCCCAGCACTCTTGGAATTTTGGTGTTGTTATCGGTGTGCATTCCGAATAACGCCAGCTGTACTCTGACCTAGCCCCTATGTCGGTCCAGCGAATCTACCGTGTCGCCCGATTTAGGGACACACATATCAACTTGTTCGTTATGCGGGGCCCGATGAGCAGATTTCTAAAAGCGCAACTGCAGACATCCTGTGTGCGCAGTTCCATAACCTTACTAACTTTCCGAATAGACAATCTCCGTGTTACGCCCTCCCCCCCCCCGCCGCCGCCGCCCTCAACGGTCAGCAGCACGCCGGAGAGACGCCCTTGTCCTCCAGTTTGAGCAATTTGTCAAATTTAGTAAGCTCCATTTTTATGTGTATGCTTTCGTAAAAAGAGACACCAGTCCACAGACCTCGCGGTAAGAATTTCCTCTCTCTCTGCCTTTCGCTTCCACACACACATACACACTATCTGCATGCCTGCCTGGACATGTTTTCGCGCTGAGTGCGTGTGCACCCCCCGGGCCTGGCTAAATAAGCGCGTAGACTTTTGGAAAGTCAGTTACACTTCACCCCTATCAATGCTTCCGTTTCTTCACGGCCCTAGATGAGGACTCGTCAGGTAGGCGTCGCCCGGCAGTAATTGCGCCCAGCGCGCGCACATATATATGCGGGTTTCTCAGGAGCAATTGAAATTAATCAGAATACGTTATTCCCCCCCCTCCCTGTGACACTGCGTTTTGCCGCATTTCTGCGGCCGAACCGGGCACCCGCGAGTGGTTGGGATCCTCAGTGGGCCGATCTCAGGGGTCCCGACAGGAGTACATTTACAGTTGCCGTTCTCGTCGGCAAATTTAACCCAGTCTGCAACATTAGTAGTGAGGACTTACAGTAGGTGGGCTAACTCATGAAGTGTCAACTGAAATTCCGAAATGCGTTTTCGATTCCAAAAGACTAATTATGTAGGGTTGTAAAACGGATCATCGCACAGCGTAATTCTATAATAATTCGATTACCCCAGGATGCTGGCTTTCGAATGAACTTCTTTCCGGCTGCGTGCAGAAACTGCCCTCTGCAAAAAAATGGCTACTTAAGGAGCACGTATTTTTCTCCTTGGTTTTCCATGCCCCTAAACATTCAGTTATATTTCATGAAAAGCATACATAAAAATATTCATTCTTTTAATCATTCTGTAGAAAGTTACGCCTTCTTCCAATTTTATACTAGAAGGAAAGGTATAATTTAGTTTTAAAAAAGTTTCCAATTGTGAGATTTTTTGATACCGTGAAATGCCCGTTCATGAAACGTCATGTTTCTGCCCTCAGCAATGTGGCTTGTAAGGTTGACAATATGGCTCAAATCCACTGCTAAATTTTATGAATCCCATATGGTCTCCTCTTAATATCGTGTAGAAATGTATGATTTTCCGCACGTGGAAAGTATACGGCTTGAGTTAGGAAACCCTGAATGCAAGTGTAACGACAGGTTGGGTTCAACATTATTCCGTTATTGGAAAAGTTTTTCAAAACCCAGTTATACCCCTCCTGTGAGTATAAAATTAAAAGAAGCAGTAGTTTTCTACCGAATTAGCGAAACAGTGGATATTTTTATGCACGCTTTCTATGGCAAATGGCAGTTTATGTTCTCGTCGGCAAGTGCAACCTAGTAGGTGAGCTAACTCAGGAAATGTCAACTGAAATTCCGAAATGCGTTTTCAGTTCGAAAAGATTAATTAAGTAGGGTTCTAAAACTAATCAGTCCGCAGTATAATAATAATAACGCATTTCGGAATTTCACTTGATATTTCATGGGTTAGCCCACCTACTGTAATATGAAAAGCGTTTTAGTTGTTAGAATTATGACCTAGACCCGCTGCTGCTATAAATGGCCCGCTTATAGGAGCAAAAAATGACTTCCGACTACAAATGGCTCGTCTTCTGGATCAGGATAAATGGACGTATACGAAGGCTGGATCGGTAGAGTGTCCAATGGCTCGTTTCCTTTATGTCGGTCCTGTCTTCGGATCCACTCTTGGAGGTGGTAGTAGACATCTCGGCGTAATGCTCTATATTTCAGTTGTTGGATACAAAGATGAGCAGAACTCTTTGCGTAGGAAGCAGAAATCTTCTTTCAAGTTCCTTGAGTAGTTTTTCGAAAAAGCTGCACAGTGAGTGGCCGATCTCATGAAATGTTGGCAGAAATTCTGAAATGCGTTTTCGATTAGGAAGTATTACTTAGGCGCGGTTGTAATACTGATTATTTTACGACATAATTCTATAATATTTTCGGACTCGGCAGGATTTCAGCATTTGAATACACTGCTTTTCAACCTCCAGTGGAAGCCGTACTCGGTAAAAAAAATGATTACTTAATTAGCATGCATTTTTCCCATTGATTTTCGATGGCCTGGCAAATTCAAATATATTTTAGAGAAACCACATACAAAAATATGCTTTCCCTTAGTCATTTCATAGAGAATCACGTCTTCTTTATAGTTCATATTCGAAGAAGGATTATAATTAGGTTTCAAAAAGTTTATAATTCCCGAATAATTTGGGGCCTGATCAGTCGTTACATTAATGCTTAGTGGTTTAATTATAAAAGGCGCATGCGTTTCGCGTAAAGAAAATCACTTATTTTTCTATCCCTTTACAAAGATACCATATAAAGTTCATAAAAGTTTGTAGTGGATGCGGATTATGTTGTACATTTCATGAGGAGCTGTGGTAAACGGTCAGGTATGATGCTATGTGAATGGACATTGCGCGGTCTTAATAAATCTCATAATTAGAAACTTTTTCAAAACCTAATCATGCTCCTTCTTCAAGTACAAAATATAACGAAGACGTCATTCTCTATCAAACGAGTGAAAGAAAGCGTATTTCTGTTTACGGTTTCTACAGGCCATATTTGAATCTGCGATACCATTGGAAATCAATGGGAATAATGTTTGCTACATATGTAGTCATTTTTTACCTAGTACGGTTTCTACGGGAGATTGAAAAGCAGTGCACTCAAATGCTGACATCCTGCAGAGTTCGAAATATTATAGCATTATGCCGCAAGTAATCAGTATTACAGCCACGTCTAAATAATCCTCCCTAATCGAAAACGCATTTTAGAATTTCAGCCAACATTTCATGAGATCGATCACTCACTGTACAGCTTTTTTCGGGATGGCATATAAAAGTGGCAGCATGTCGCGGGTACTCAATATATGTTTTTTTTGCGCCTAGTAATTCTCAGTATGGTAAGGCGTGGGGCCTTAACCCGTCAATTTCAATAGCATATGGAATTATCCGAATACCAATCACGGTCAGATATTGTCCAAATCTGATCTGCTTTCCTTTAATAAAGCAGAATCTAAGGGAATTTATCTCTACTACATGACTTTCTGCGCCTCAATTAAATTCAGCAAGCATAATTAACAAATATATGACATATCACCCTCTGAAATTTCGATCACGACATTTTATGAGTTAAGCCATATACTGTACTCTTTAAAGTCTAATTTCTATGTGGCAGTTGTTGATTTGAGCCAACTGTTGTCGACAAAGTTCGGACGGGTACTTATCGGCAACTATTTCGCCCGGAACAACTCATCAGTGGAGAGGACGCCGCGAACCACTTTGCAAGTGGCCATTATAACATCGGCACGGAAATGATCTATCTGGTTTTCGATCGCATTTGAAAACTTGCCGATCAGTGTACCGGCATGCAGGGTTTTGTCATTATAGTATTACCGACAAAGACAAGGGAGACTGGAATGGCCATTTCTGGCTTATTAGCCGTCGTCAGTCAGCCATACCCAAGCCCGAAGCGTGGAACACCCGAGCCTCGAACTCGCGACCTGTTGGTTTAGAAGTCAACGCCTCTACTCACCGGGCCACGAGCCCGTTGCCCTGTCGGTTTTGTCATTTTCCACTCCTTTGGTGGGGGCACTGGGTCTGGTTTCGCATCACTCCTCATGGAGCGCCCTAGCGTACACTGCGCCAAGAAGCCCAAACTGGAGTTTGCAATCTACACGGACCCGCAGATCTCGACCGCGGTCGTGGAACCTTATAACGCCATTCTTTGTACATACTCCACCATGGAGCATTCGGATTGCGCCTTCATCAACAGAAAGGCGATCCGCGACGTGTGTCGGCGAAATATGGATGTCGAGATACCTATATACACCAATCTCAACCGATTGATTGCACAGGCTGTCAGTTCACTTACGGCTTTTCTGAGCTTCGATGGCGCCTTAGATGCTGACCTCACTGAATTTCAAACAAATTTTGTGTCCTTTCCTCGGATTCACTTTCCCTTGCCCACTTACGTGCCAGTGGTCTCCGCCGAGAAAGCCTACCACGAGCAACTGGCTGCTGCTGAACTCACGAACGCCTGCTTCGATCCGCGGCACGGTATATGCATGGCCTGTTGTGTGCTGTATCGCGGGGCGACGTGTCGCCGAACGAGGTGGACGCGTCAACTGCTTCAATCAAGTCCAAGAGTACCATCCATTTCGTTGACTGGTATCCAACTAGCTCTAAGGTCGGTATTATTTACCAACTGTCCACCGTGGTGCCAGATGACGAATTAGCCG